TCTTTCTGACTTCTGAATTCTTCACAGACAGGATACAGTTCCCAGAGCTGTGGTTTGGAGGATGTGTCTTGTTCAGGCACCTTCCTTCTCTCTATAATTCTCGTCAGCCATGAGATGAGATTTCTGATGTCATGACCTTCCCTCTCATGGCTCAGTCTTGCCATTGTCTGTTAGTCTCTGAGCCCCATGGATACTGGACTGAAAGCTCTAAAGATGGAGCCAAAGTTTAATGTTTTATTTCCTGAATAATTTTTCGCAGGTGTAGATAAGATGAAAAAGATCCACAATGGACTATCTGGTAATATAAGAGAAGATAGATAAAATTCAAAGATTGGGATTACATTAATTTTCAGGTGTGGTGTCACAAGCCTTTAATCTCAGCACTTTGGAGGCAGAAGCAGGTGGAACTTTGTGAGTTAGAGGCCTGCCTGGTCTACATAGTGAGTTCCAGGACAGCTGGGGCTATGGGGAGACCCCTTTTTAAAAAAACAGAAAGAAAAAAAAAGACTGGGAACACAAAGGGCACTGTGAATGCCCCCATTTAATACTTACCTTGTGTTTCAGTTTTCAAGCTTTCAGCATACATTGGGAAAGTCCTTGACTCCACACTGGATTTCAGGATGTTTATAGGGCTTTGTGTTTGTTTTTGTTTTGATTTTCTGTCTTTTTGAATGGCATCTTTTTGTAGCCCAAGTAGGCCTGGAACTCACTATGTAGACTAAGCTGGCCTTGTACTCACAGAAATCTGCCTGCCTCTGCTGGGATTACAGGCACCACCACCACACCTGACTTATTACAGATTTAATTTTGAAGTTTACCACTGAAATATTTAAACTCACTGTATTTTATCCCTGTGCCACTTCTGAGTGCCTATAGTTCATGATTCAATATATTCTCCATTCTTCTTTAAAATATAACCATGAATTCTGAAGACATGGCTGGCTGTCATGAATTAATACATTTTTTCAAATGAACTTCTCCCTCCAACAATGTTCAGAGATCCCTTTTCTGCAAGTCAATTTTAGTTAATATGTTCACTTTCAGTATGATATAGTTATTTTTCATTATTTCATGCTGTTTTTTCTCTGGTCTTTCTGAGAAGAGATCACATATTATGACAGATTTCCTGCCTTTGTAATTAGTTGGTATTTTTCCATAACAGAATTAACTACAGAATTTCTTTTTCTTTTTCCTTTTTCTTAGTGTTTTTTTCATGTGCCTTTGGTGTATACATAGAGTTCCATTTGTACTTATTTCAACTTCCTAAATGACTCTCTTGTGACTGTACATTCATGTATTTTTCGTATATTTTCTAATTTATTTTATTGAATAAATTTTCTCACTTTAGTT